ACAAATGTCACAGTCTGAATTTAAAAATCAATTAATATTGCTGATGTTGCTAATTTAACAGTATTAATATCATAGTGTAAACAGCTACAGAACCTACAGGATCTTGTACTGTATCTAAGTCTGCTGGTTGCAAGTCTGCTCTCCAACAGACAGTACCAAGAAAATAACCCATGCAAATATCATAGGCAAGGTAATTTAATAGAATTTCTAATGATTGCTTTAATCTTACAGTTAGACTGTCAAACAAGTATGACTAAAGACAGATCATTAGGTAGAGATTTAGATGTACTACTTAGAACTCATTTATCTACTCTTACAGATGCCTTCACTTTCATTAGTGTGCTAGGCTCAGAAACAGTTGGAAGACCCCAACTGGATCACAGACACCATTGCATCATGATACTGCTAGATATCCTACAAAAGATGAGGATTGACCCAGTGAATTAGAAGGTAGAAGACACATTGCAGTGCTGTCTTTGATGGCAACCATACTGTCTCACACTTCTGTCTGCACAACTAAGTTACATTTTTAAAGTAATTTGTCCCTGCACATATTATCTATGGAAAAAAAGCTTTCTAAGAGCAGAAAGATATCATTTTTCTTTAAACCACTCAAGTCTTCCACATTGACTACTTCTTCCTCCAATAAAGAATGGATGACAAAGGAGTCCAGTTATTTAAGAAGTCCTTCAATGGTGCTGTACTGTAATACATAGGAAAATAAAAAATTAGGTACTAGTCTTCTTATCATGCATCTACCAAGTATTTGTTGTTGGAGAAGTATTGAAACTTTAGTTCTTAGTATTTTGGCACCTTAACTTTCTTAGAAGCAAGCTGCAATTTCCTAGACTGCATATTTCAGTCACAGTAGTAAAATATACAAGTTTAGGATCCTTACATTAAAATTATAAAAAGAGAGCAAACCCACCCTAAAACACACTCCCGTCCTTTTTGATTGTGTTCTTTCTGCCCACTGAAAGGCAGAAACTCTGGAGTAACATGCAGGTAATTGCAAATAAAGATGCATAAAGAACTTCATATTGTTAACACTTCAACCACAAAGGCACAATTCAAAAGAAAAATAATAAATCTGTAAGCAGATCTAAGAAAATCTATATAACAGGCCAATTGTTCAGGACTTTCAGATACCAAAAACCCATAAGGTATTTTCCTTATTCAGGTTCCACACTGAAAATAACATCAGCTTCTGGCACAACTCAGCATCTTTTAGATGCACAATCTTCCTTTCCCAAATACTACTCAAAATCACAAGTTCTTATATACAGCAATTTAATCTATTAAGTTGGAGAGTCATAGTCAATGACTCAATTACAGAGATTATCAGAACTGTCAGATCACAGTAGAACTACACTCTTTACAGAGCTTCCTACCTCAGGGATCAGTAATTTCAGTGTTTCACAATGACTGCTGCCTAAAATCTTCAAATAAGACAGGCAGTTAAATTTTTTCCTTTCAGAAATTTGAAATAAGGTGCTGCACATTTCTAAATGGAATACGTCTTTCAGAAGCAATGAAATTTCATGTAACACGTATGTCATTTCTTGATACATTAGACCATTCATGTCTTACATATTGATATTTACACTTGCTTACCATCACCACAAAGTTGCAACCTTCATTTCAGAATACTATATACAAGTTAGCAACAACTAATAGCCTGATAGATTAACTTTATTTTGACACTCTCTCGCAACAATCCATTAAATATGGCTAATCAGTACTAGTGATTACTCATCAGAACTTTTATTTCAGTTCCACAAACTGCTTAAATTCACTGAACTTAGAGCTGCTATTCTGATTTTACTGTGAAAGATGAACTAATGCTAGAAAACACACACAGAAATACAAAAGAACAAATAAAAAGTAGAATAACATTTTTATAGAATTCAGAAATATTACACATCCTTTTTCTTCCTACAGAGGTCAGCCACTAATTAGCTGAAATCCTCCTTTATTGAACTAGTACTATCATTTCAGAATTTCTTCCCACACACCATTTAAGTGAAGGGTGAGGAAGGGTCATGGGGACACAGGCAGTGGAGAAGCAGTTAAGCAGCAACAAACTACATGGAGAAATTCAGACAATTTCCAAAAGTTAAACAAAAATCCAAGTGTATAAGAAATTCATATAAATGGGAAGGGGGGGGCAACAGGAAAAGGAACAAACAAGCAAAAGAACAAACACCCCAAACAACACCAAAAAAAAAAAAAGCCAAAAAACCACACACAAAAAACACCCAAACAAACAAAAAAAGACAAAGTAAATCTCACTCATTAAGCTTGTCAGGTTTCAAATTAAATCATGGTTTGTACTAGATTAAACTCAAGATATTCTCAAAGATGTAAGCCTATATGTCATTCTCTATTATGTCCACTCCAGCCTGAAAAACTAACCCAGCATACTGATAAAAAATGAGAACATATTCTGTCAAGAATACTGCAAGAGACAACTAAAAAGGCAGGTTTTATCCACTCTTGATGAAAATTGGCAAAGGCATGGAGTATTCTACCCAGCAGTATGATCTCACTGAAATCTTTAACCAAGATTCGTTGATGCACTTGTAGAAGTTCTTTATCATACTTTCACCCAATTCTAAATTTCACAGTAAGACAACATCTTCCGATGGCGGAAGGAAGTATGTTAAGAGGAAAAAAGTGAAAAAAATACTGTGCTTCACTGAGGAGTTACAACTGTTTTAAAAATCTTTTAATAATTTTACAGCACTTTATGCTCTGTAGTCCGTAGAGAAGATGTAGCAAGTATCTACAAGTAAGTTAGAGATATCTGACTTTCAAATTAATTACTTCTAAAAACAATTTTGAAGGGAAGGTAAAATATAAATTTGCACCAAGTTGTAGAGTTTTTTTGACATTAGATATTAAATCTAGCATCACAAAAATACATATTTCTATTACACAGCAAAAGTGTTTGCTTTATTCTATCACCTTCTCTCTCACAACACAGAAGGTGCTTACTCATTTATAAATGTTATATTTGCAAATGTGATATCACCAAGTCTGTTTGAATTACCGTTTGTAGATAAGCAACCATAACTCTTCCAGCCTGAGATCCTTATAACAGAAATGCTCAAGAGGAAGTCACAATAGTGAAATACATAGACTTTCTTAAAAACAAAACATAGCCAGAGCAAAACATCATCCGTTACAACTTAACATTTTGTTTATGAAATAATATCAGTTACTTAGGTAAAAAAAAAACTACAGACATTTTCCTATCCATTTAGAAGAAATGATGGAGAAGCTGATAGTGAAAGGGGAAACAAATCAAATTAGTTTATGCAGTACAGACAAATGCTTTCAGCTAGAAATTACCCAAAATAAGACTTCTTGCAAGGAATCTATTGAAGAAAAAAAAAAAAGAGAGAAAACAAAAAAGCCCATCAAATAATATATAGCCAAAACACAAGCACAATTAAAAGTGTCTTTTTTTTTTTCAAATATCCAAGTCCAAGGGAAAAAAAAAATCCAATAAAGGATTTGAGACCAACACTATTTTCTGAATGAGACTAAAACAAACACCTACAAACCCCTCCAAATGCAAATGACAAAATATCCACACTAGGGGAACCCTGTGATACTGGAAACCTGGTCTTCAATTCCATGATTTGTGTTGAAGAGTGTACAGAGTTCACCTAACTCCTAACAGAGATTAAAAATAAAGCTGTCCTACTTACACTAACATTTTGCACATTTAACTTCTCTCATGTTCCATTTCCCTACCCTCCCACCCCACCTCCAAAAAAAACCAAGAGGAGCAGCTAAGGTACACTGAGATGGTAGCAAGGACAGTTTAGCTTTTGAACAGCACATTTAAACTTTTCCGTTTCACTGCTTTAGAAAATTTTATGAAATGCAAGGATTAGTTAAAGTCTATAAAAAGGATTGACTCTGACTACTCTAATAATGCTTTAACTCTAAAATATATGCTCATAGGTGTCAGTCTTACTTTTACATAATGGGAAATTCAAAGGAAACACTAAACATTAGTGGGGATAAGTTACAGAATATTTTCATACAAACTCATTGAAATTATTCTTGGAGAGGAGAGAGAGAAGGAAAGAGAATTGCTATGTACATAGCTAGCACAAAAACAAACACTCCAGTTGCATCCTTCAGAGAACTCAACCACTTTATACTCTAGTGCATAAGTTCTAAAAGCACGGCCTGCCATGCCTTATATCTTACATGCACTGAGAATAAACGCTATTGCACTGCAGATTAATTTTGGAATGCAGCTGCCACTTAACCAATTTAAAGGCTTTTCACAAAATGGTATAAGAAGACATTCACTATTAATAGGAAAAAAACCAAAAAACCAATTTATTGCCATGGTAAAAGTTTTGGAAAAAAACATGGTATTTTTACCAATAATTTCCTACCAAGTTTAACATTAGTCACAGAAAAGCATAATCACTTATGCATCCATTTACATGTCTGAAGGTTGGAGAAAACAAAGGAGATGACACAGATGCTGCACCTCTGCATGCTTTAACAGCCATACATGATTTTAAAACAAACCAACAACATCAACCAAAAAAAACCAAAACAAAAAACCCCAAACACAAACAAACAAAAAAACTCTGAGAAAAAAATAGTCCTACAGCCAGATTTATGCCTGGTGCCTTGCAGGGTTGTTGAACACCCCGGCACAAGGCTAGAAATCAGAAGTTTTTAGTACAGGACGTTATTTGCCACTGTCTCACAGACTGACCCTGGGCAAGTCACTTCCCCGGCATCTCAGCTCCCCACCTGACAGTCCGGCCCCCACTCTCCACTGAGCGCCGAGGACGGAAACCCGGTAATTACTCACTACAAGCGGCTCTACATGGGTGAAGCTAGAATACAGGGAAAGGGGGAGCGGGAAGAGGGAGCAGCGGTTCCCCTCACCTATCGGTGATAAGAATTCCCCCGGCACGGATTCCGTCTCCCACCCGGGAAGCCTTTCCCCGTTTCCCCAGCGCACCGGTTAGACTGGAGGAGGCGGCGGCTGCGGCTCCCGGCCCCAAGCGCGGGCGGCAGCCGCGCCCTCCGGGCCTCGCGCCCTCCGGGCCTCCCGCCCCGCCGCAGGAGCGGCCCCAGGGGCCCTGGCCGGCTGCCAGCGGATGCGGCGCCACTCGCAGCCTCGCCGGGCGGACACTCACAGGTGCTGGAGCCGTGAGGGGCGACCAACGTTCCGCAGCGGAGGTGATCTCGGCAGCCCGGCGGGAGGCGAGAGATCTGGGCTGTGGGCGCTGCGCCCCCGCCGCGGAGCCGGCACTGCGGCGCGCCCGCCCGCCCTTTCCCGCGTCGCTGGCCAATGCGGGCCGCGCCAGGAGCCGGCTTGAACCATCTGTTGCGAGGCGCCTCCCCCAGCCCCTTGCCGGGGGCTCCCGCCCAAGCGCAGCCAAGGAGGGGCAAGCCTGCAGGGAGCCCGCGGCCCCTGCAAGGAGCTCTTCGCCCGGTGCGTCTCGGGGGCTGGGGCCGAGCCCTGCCTCTTTGTCGCCCCCCAGGAATCGCCCCGTCCCACGGCTGCCGCTTCTCCCTCAGCGTTCGGCTCCCCTCACAACGCGCTCGGCGCCTCAGGAGTGCCAGGTGGGGCAGCGAGAGGATCCGGGATGCCAGGGAGCAAAAGCTTCATGTGAGACTGATCCTCCTCAGGTGTGTAGGCGATAAAATCCCGACCTCATAAAATTTTTGCACTTCCCACCTAATAACAGGAATTCTCCACATGGAATGTTGCACGGAGAAAGGTGTCTCATCCTGCTTCGTTGTGAGAAACAGGGCTAAAATCTGTCTGTTTTTAGACTTAGACGTTTCTTGTGATCAAGCTCTCCCAAAAGACTCAAGTCTCTTTCACTATTTAACGGGTTTGAGTTTTAGCCTTTCATGTTCCCAGTCGGAGAGTTTTCCCACAAACATGATAACAGTCTATCTGCACAGTCCTTTATTTTAGGTCTTCACCCCAGGCAACAGTAGTTGAGATACTTACAGCACAGGTGTAAAATTTCACCAAAGCAGAGCAATAGTTCTTGTTTTACTTCTCTTTTTGTATTAATAGTTTCCTTGTTGCAGACCTCTCTGATTATGATTTTTAACCAAGTGCCTATGTTTCCTGTCGATTCTGCAGAGAAAATCCAGGGACTAAGACACTAGCTTTATTCGAACAGGTTCTAGAGTAATATTTTTAGGAAGTCATGTCAAGAAAAAGATGCAAATTTCTCTCAACTTTCAATAACTTAAGAAAATATTCTTGAGATTCATGCTGTGTAAAGGAAAAAAAGTGCATTTCTTTAATGGGTGAACACAAGTTCTAATTTTTTTTTTTTCATTTTTTGAAACTGTCAGATTCTTATATCTCACCAGAACAGTGTCAAATTATGGATTTAAAACCGAAATATGGACCAGACACAATTTGCAGGACTTGAGGATTTGACATATAGTCAATTTTATGATGGGCTGAATGTCAAAGGGTCAAAATAAGATGGCTAATCTTGCAATTAAATTAATCATGGGCCCTTTGCTTATTAAAAAAAAATATTTCTGGAAGCCAACCAGTTGTATTTTATCCTAATGCTGTTGTGACATGGCTTGTAAGTGGTTCAATATGTTACTCCAAATAGACACTTTCAAATATGGGATCTATTTCTTGCCCACTAAGTCATATCTTTGCATTAAAGGGGCTCAACATAGCTGATCTTTATCTTATTATTACAAAAAAACTCTAACAAGTACACAAAATTAAGTGATTGCAATCTTTCTTGTGAGACTCCAAATGGATGAAATTTTGTCCTCAATATGCATGTGTAATGCCTCTAAATCTGAAGGGATGATTTGTCCTTATAAGATATTTTTAAGGAACAATTTCTATATAGTTATAATTAACAGAATGATAGATTGACTAGTGAATCGTCCATTAATCTTACAAAGCTGTTCTCAAGCTTAAGTTATTCCCATATATATTCTAATCAAGACTGAGCATAATAATTTTGTGAGATATTGTATTTAACATTAATGCGAGGTTTAGTCTTACTACTTCAAGAACGTTATTATTGATTTTATTAATATATAGAAATTCCTTCTAACAGCTTAAACAAATTGACCTAGGTATCAAATACATGCATGAAAAATTGCTCTTCACTTGAGTGAAGAGCATGCTGTCATATATGAAAGACAAAGGATGGTTGCAAATAAAACTACACATAGGCACACATCTGACCTCTGAAACAGTGAAAATACAAATAACTTGTTCAAGTGTACAAAAAATCTTGGCAAAATCTATAAGCCTAGGCAGGTAAGTCTGTCTCAGTCCATTGCTACAATAAACAATGCTGGTAAACATAAAACCTTATGTCTTAAGTCTCAAAGTAATATTTCTATTTTAAGTGGTTTAATTTACAAAATGACTAGAGCAAAGGCAGTTGCTTACTTTTTAAAAATATGTGTTCTTTCTGCTTGCTAATTAGCCTTTTATTACCTTTGGTATGGATTAACAATATGACGAGTTCTGCATGCGTATACCGCGCATATGTGTTATGGATGTTAATAGGGCAAGATCAATTTAGGGGTTTTCTTCTGTATTTTTACTTCCCTCTATCTTGGAATGTGACCTTGGGTAGTTTGCTGAACTTGCCCGTGTATCGTTCTTTCATCTGTGAGATCTGGGATAGTCATACTTGAAGAAGGGCACTTTATAAGTAACAGTATTTTGTGAATTTATCTATCTATAAAAAAATAACTAGTAATTAAGATCTTTGAATATAGGCATCCAGTCATTGTGCATCATAACGTGTGGCAATATGTGCTGCGGCCCAGAAAGCCAGCTGAATCCCGGGCTGCACCAAAAGCTGGGTGACCAGCAGGTCAAGGGATGTGATTCTCCTCCTCCACTGCTCCTATGGGATTCCACCTGGAGTACTGCATCCAGCTCTGAGATTCCCAATGCAAGGAGAGGGAGGACCTGCTGAAGCCCCTCTGGGGACAGACTGGGAGACCTGGGGGTGTTCAGCCTGGAGAAGGGAAGGCTCCTGGGAGATTTTAGTGACCCTTCCACTGCTTAAAGGACTCCAAGAGAGCTGGAGAGTGACCTTGGACAGCAGGCTGGAGTAACAGGACAAGGAGTCATGGCTTTCCACTGACAGAGGGTAGGGTTAGATCCATATTAGGAAGAAATTCTTCCCTCTGCGGGAGGTGAGGCACTGGGGCAGGTTACCCAGAGAAGCCGTGAATATCCTATCCCTGGAAGTGTTCAAGGCCTGGCTGGATGAGGATTTTAAGGGCAACCTGGAAGATGTCCTTGCCCATGCAAGGAACTAAATGATCTATAAAGTCCCTTACAACACAAACCATTCTATCATTCTAGGATAACAGCATTTTCTCCTGTTTCATTCTAAGCAGCAGATATTTGGCAGTCTATAGAGTGTAAAATAAGGTTTAGAACCTAGGCAGTGTTTTTGTCAAATATAGTAAACATCTTAAAATCCTCAAAGATCCTTTCTGAAAGTTATTTAGAGCATAAGCCTTTCTTTCATTGGTTAAGCAGTGCATTAATATTACATGCAAAGGTAAAGCTGCAAGCAATTATAGTTCAGGAGACCAAAGATGGAGAATGAACAGGTTTCCGCAGAATTCATGATGAAAAACACTGTATCCCTGAAAAACATGGTTTTCTTCATGAAACATTATTGTGGTGCCTAATTATGGGAGTTCAAGGACATGAGGTTCTCGTACTGCCAAGGAAACTATTCAAAAACTATTTTGATGTGTTTTCCATTTCAGTAGGTGTTCATTAATGCAATAAGCCTAGGAAACACCATCTCTTGCCATTCCCATGTTACAGTTTTCCCCTAAGAATTTTGTTTTTATGGTTGTGTCCATGTTGCATATAGTTACACTGTAATTTGCTTTCCCCACCTTTTCTTTATGCAAAGCTGAGTGAAATGTAATCTATTAGGGTGATGCTTTCAGCAGAGTTAAAAATATTGAGATACACTAGCTGTTGCAGTCTTTTTTTTTTAATCCCTAATGTCTTGGAAGATCCATTAACCTTAAATCAATCCAACAAATCTGATTGTTGTTGCCAACTTTCCTTTTCCAAATAAAGATATATCAATTTACATTAATAGCATCAGTAATTAAATACTTGTGTGAAGATAAAAGCAAACCCTAAGATGCAAATAGTGCAAACTTGAACCATGGATTTAGTTCCAGGTCTTGAAGCAGGCTGTTCTCTGAAGGGAACCAGCTAAAACCATACAAGGGGGAACTCACTATGTGAGTGCAAAAACAAAGTTTGGATTTTAACCCACCTACTGCTTTTCCTTTTTTCTGTATGTTAAGTTCCCAGTGGGAAAAAAAACCAACCCGGGACTGAAGAAACTACTCAGAAACATACCTTGGAGCCTCAGTCATAAAGAAGTTGCTTTGTTATAAAGGCAAGACAGCAAAACAGATCTGTGTTAACGTTGCCACTTTTTATAAAGTGTCAAAAGCTAGGATTTTTTTTTTTTTTTGGTTATGTGCCAATGATGACTCAGGAGCTGTTATGAAAATGAATGTGCTATTTCAAATGTGGCAAGACCTAGCCTAGAATTAGATAGTGTACCTAAACAAACAAATTTATCTCGGAAGCTGCAGAACTGAAACCAGTTGAAATGTCATTTAGCTGCTGACACTAGTGAGCAAGCAAAACCATGGAGGGACAGTGCTAACTGCTGATGCCAGCAGATGGTAAGTGGAATGTTAAGCTCCTACCCCACAGGGCCATGTCAAACTGTATCTGTAAGAGGAAGGGGAAAAACAGAAAAGTAACAATAACAAGAAGTACTTAAGGAAACAGGCGTCTCAATTTCAGCCGGTAAGATAGTTGTCCATTAGATTCCAAGATAAGTCTGTGTAAACCCAGCTACCAAAACTGTGAGTTTTTGCCTGTTCTTTGATGACTGTGGTAACTGGTAACTGCAATCTCATGTTTCCTATCCCCTTCCTCAGAACACATTAAGGGAAATGGATCATAACTCCAGTGCTAACTGGGAAGTGTTCAGCAATAACTATCTGTAGCTTTTAGAGCACTTTTTTGTTTCAAAGGACTTTGCAACCACTGATTAGTTAATCAGTTCTGTGTTCAGTTGTGGGGAAGCACACAATCTGTCCTCTAAACAGTTGGGCTTTGTCATGGGTCCTAAAGATGGAACTTTGCTGTGAGTTGGGTGAGTGAGCAGGTGCAGGGAGACAGTACTGGCATGATAGCTGCTGAAAGCATGCTCTTTGGATAGCTACAAAGAACATGCTTAACAGTAGCTGTAAATCTTTGCCTTTCTTGAGGTGTGAGATGGTACAGAGTAAAAATAAGCCTCATTATCACCTTCCACAAGTTAGATTTCTCCTTTGATGTGTTACATATAAAGGCAGTTGCTGTGCTGACAGAAGGATCAGTCAAGTTCCTTCTGCTACCCACTCATGCTCACAAATTACTTTGCTTTTCTGACTTTCTGTGTCTTTATAAGCATCACTTGCTGTATTCTTTTCTACATTTAACCTTAAACAGATTTAATTTTAGACACAATCCCTCTATAGCATGGAATCTGCCTTTTCAGTCCAGTTCATCAAGATGAATCCACTTGTCTGGATGCATTCACTTACACAAAGTGCCTTCGCTTTAG